TTCTGGCGTTCTGAAAAAAGTTGATAGTAGTAATTTTGGCCAATCTTTTCATTGCTTCTAGGGAGAAGAGAACTTCTGGGTCTTTACTCCAACAGTCATGCTGACTTGATTCATTGATTTTTTTTTTTTTACGTTAATTATTAAGTTGTAGTCACAGTTATCAAAAGAGCACTGGAATATGACTTCTTGGGTTCATGTCCTGGCTTTGTCACTCACCAGCTCTTGCTTTGGCAAGTAACTTAGCTCCTCTGGGAATCAGCATCCTTTTGTGAAATGAGCATATTCATAGCACATTATAAGTGTGTGTTTGTGCTTAGTCACTGAGTGTGTCTGACTCTCTGTGGACCCATGGACTGTAGCCCTCTGCTCCTCTGTTCATGGCATTTTTCCAGGCAAGAACGCCGGAGTTGGTTGCCATTTCCTACCCAAGGGAATCTTCCTGACCCACAGATTGAACCCATATCTCTTGCGTCTCCTGGACTGGCAGGTAGATTCTTTATCACTAGTCCTACCTGGGAAGCCCTTATGAGTGCACTGTGACTAAATAAACTGAGGTAATATGGAGAGTTCTTATAAGGATGCTTAGCATAGAATAGAGTTATGGTGGCTCTTCACTGTTACTACCGGAATCTCACTACATGACTAAACTGTGGATAGACTAGCTTTTAAACTGAAGTTGGTAAAATTATTTACTGAAGTCACAGAGGCAATGAATAACTGATTCAACCAATCTTGCAGAATTGTTGCAAGGATTGATGATGATCTAGTCGCTAAGTTGTATCCGACTCTTGCGACCCCATGGACTGTAGCCTGCCAGGCCCCTCTGTCCACTGGATTCTCCAGGCAAGGATACTGGAGTGGGTTGCCATTTCCTTCAAGGATGAGCAGTATGTAAAAATTTAAAATTGTACTGACTAGGTGCTCATTAAATGGGAGTTGCTCCTATAAATTATGGCTCTTTGTACCTTCCCACATTCATGAAGTGCATAGCTTCTCCAACATTTCATTTGATTTTCTGATATGAATATGTGTGTTGGGATTAAGTGTATCTGGTAGCTGCCATGAGTTTCGGTGAAAATGTTCTTATGTCTATTATCTGGGTTTTGGCAGAGCTCAGAGACTCAGAAGGAAGAATCAGTCATGATGGGCTTCTAGGCAGGCTAATGGCCACATGGACAAGCAAGGTTGGCTTGATGTGAGGCCTTAGCACATTCTAGAATTTATCATCAGTTCTGAAGTCCTTTGGAGGAGAAGGAGGCAAGTGAAAGGGCTTTCAGAATACAGTGAATGGGGTGAAAACAGTTGATCAGGAGTGGCTAAAATGGAACAGGTGGCCCACATAAATACCAGCTGTGCATTATGGCCAATTTTATTGCCAGTTTATAATGTTGTCCATGGTAATTTTACAGCAGTTTTCTTTATTCTTGACATTGCTATAAATCTTGCCATAAAATGGCTTTAATGCAGCAGAAAAGCTATGAAATGAAAGGGGAAACTTCAAGGATCAGTTGATTGTAGTGGAATGGAAAGGAGGCTAAGAATGCCCAGAGAGAAAATAATGGAAAGCCACAGGGAAAAATTGAGGGACCAAATGTCTCATTATGTACTAGAATCTGTCCTCCCAAGTAAGTCAATTTAATTGCAAGAACAGATAGCACTTTTAGGATGAGTCCACCAGATGGCACCATCGAAAACATTTCTTAAAAGGCCCCCTTTTCCAATTACTTGGGACAATTTAGCAAACCTGCTCTTTTCAGAGGAACAAACAATAAGCTCCCCTGGTGGCTCAGATGGTAAAGAATCCACCCGCAGTGCGGGGGACCTGCGTTCAGTCCCTGGGTTGGGAAGATCCTCTAGAGGAGGGCATGGCAAGCCACTCCAGTATTCTTGCCTGGAGAATCCCACGGACAGAGGAGCCTGATGGGCTCCAGCCCATGTGATCACGAAGAGTCGGACGAGACTGAGTGACTAACCACAGCCCAGAACACCGCTGTTTTCAGAGGAGGAAACAATATCTGTTTGGTTTTGGATGGAGAATAAGTGTTTGCCTATTATTTTATCCTACTGTGTGTGTCTGTGTGTGTATGTGTGTGTGTGTGTGTGTGTGATAGTTTTAAGCAATGAAAAAACTTTTCTCAAAAGACAACTTCAGCTTGGTTAGATTCTGGGCAAGTCTGAGCTAAACATCTCAGCTTCAGGCATGCAGCTTTGTATCTTCTGATTAATAGCCACATACTTTTTGTTTTCTTCTCGTTTCTCGGGCTAGGACTATACAGACCTATAACTCTAATTTTCTTTTTGTCATTCCTGCCAAGAGCTAAGGGAAACTACTAAACACCCCCATGCCTCCTCCTCCTCATCCCTGACCTCTGACTCTGCCCACATCTTTCCTTTCCAAGACCTTTTCCCCAACCCTGGAACTCTTGGGAAACCCTTACAGGAGAGGTTCCTATGGTTCTTAAATTTATACACCAAACATAGCACAGAATTGGAATCTGAGAAAACCAGGTCCATCCTGCCTCTTACTAGCTCACTTTTTATTTCAAGGGTTATTGCAAGGATAGGAGAGGATACTGTGTGCAAGGTACTTAGCATACAGCCTGGCGCAACCTTGGTGTTCATTGTACACAGAAAAATTTTTTTTTTAAGTACATGTATTAATGTCTTCAGCAGAAGTCCCCAAACAACCTCTTGTTATTCTTTGTTTCTGTTTTCCCTACTAACTCTTCCAAGAATCAGGGAAGATGAGAGAAAGCAGGAACTGAAATTTGGTATTAATTTCTGTTTATGGTGCCAGAGGGGCTTCCCTGGTAGCTCAGACGGTGAAGAATCTGCCTGCAATGTGGGAGACCCGGGTTTGATCCCTGGGTCGGGAAGATCCCCTGGAGAAGGAAAGGGTAACCCATTCCAGTATTCTTGCCTGGAGAATCCCATGGACAGAGGAGCCTGGCGGGCTGCAGTTCATGGGGTTGCAAAGAGTCGGACCCGACTGAGCAACCAACACTTACTTACTTCCTTACTGTGCTGGAGAAGGACCTTGCCTGACAGCTGTGAGACAGACTGCTGTTTTTGACACTGAATTTTTTTGTCCAGTGTTCAGCATTCTCTGTGATGAGAATGCCTGCACTATAGACAGATTTAGGGGAAAATGGAGACGGGCCCAGTTCCTGTCACTGTCTGGGAAGGACCGCAGGGAAGGAAGCTTGCAGACACAGGTTCAGGTGAAAAGAGCCCCAGTGAATTAGAGATGTCCTGGGCAGTTTTAATTTTCACTGTCCATTTCACTGGAATCACTTCTGTAAGGATGATTGACAGATGGAGGTGGGGCGTAGGGAGCTGTGGTGCTGCTGAATACACAGAAATGGATGTTTTATCGCAGTGAGCCTCTGATAGTTGTTTGCCTGGAAAGCTGGAGTGAATGGACAGGCTCTTCTAGCCACGTTGTTTACCCCTCCCATCGAGTCTGGCTGTCCCCCCCCTGCCCGCCTCCTCTCCCTGTAAAGCATCTCCCCAATCTCATGGGCTTTCACTGAGGCATGAATTGGAGCAGGACTGATGGATACTGTTTGGAGGCATGCCAGACAGGAGCACCTGGCCTGGTCTGTCACTGGAACCTCAAGTTCAAATTCCAGGGGAACTTAGGACTTCTAGAGGGCTCAGAAAACCAAAGCAATGGTCTGAGAGCCTGAGGGCAGGGCAGGGAAGGCTCACCTGTAAGGAAGGCATTACACCCCAGCCTTGACAGCTCGAGTGGCCCCTTGCAGTTTCAAATACTTGCAGATCCTGGTTGGTCACAGACATCCCTGCAGTGGCCCAGGGTCAGGGGGCAGAACTGGGTCTTGTTCAGACTGAAAGATAACTCTACTCTTCAAACAAACCTCGGCTGCTGCGGGGCCTGAACTTTGATTACATCTCTTGTTTGGATTCCACAAATGCTTCCTGACTGCCTGACAGGTTTCGTGCTTACTATCTCATTTCCTCTTCCGAATTCCCAGGCTGGGGGTGGGGGGCAGGAGGGAGATAGTCTGCAGGTTTAGTTTGACTCCTTTCAGGCTGGAAGCAGGTGGGGTTCTCAGACTCTCCTTGACCGTCCTTGAGGACTGTAACCAGAAGTCTCTGGATCCTGGTGGGCCGGCAACGCTGCAGAGGAAGAGACCGTAGAAGATATCCTGCCCCAGGCCATGTTAATAAACACTGCGGGCTTGGGGTGTGTGTGTGTGGAGTGTCCATTACTTGCCCTAAATGAAGCAAGAACGTTGTGAGCAGTTGTCCCCTGGGCCTACCCCATCCGGTGCTGGCTCCTAGCCCTGACTGCTTGTGGCCACACCTCTGCGGTCTCCTCCAGTCCTATGAGTAACATCCACTCTGGGGCCCAAGGCCAGTCATTAAACTGAAGAGTCTCACCTTCGGGTAAGACAAAGGATAGATCTGGGTTTTGTGGGTCTGAATCTTATGCTATTGTGGGATCGTCTCTGAGAATAAGAATACATAGTTACAGATTAGTCAAATTGGGTGTGAAAGAGAATATGTAGAATAGAAAATAAATTATAAGTTACAAACTTTTAAAGCTGACAAATATTGCAAATGTAACAAAAAACTCATAATTTATAATTAATTATCTGTCTGACATACTCAGTAATGTTTTTTCCCTAGATCTTCTGGCTGTATCCTCTTTAGTGACAATTTTGTGATATTTTTTTTACAGATAACAAGGCAAGATAATTTAGCCCTTCCTGTGGCATGGTTAATTAAAAAAATTTGGGGAGGGGGAGGTATTATTGATTGTTTGGAAAGCTTCTTTTAGCTTCCCAAACAATTACTCTTAGAAACACAGACAAAAATCATGGAGGATGTCATGGAAATGTTTAAGATTGTTGTCAAATTTTAAAATATCTCAGGTTGCTCTCATATGGATATATGAGCTATGAGGTTTGGAAGGATATTTCACAGACTAGCTTCTTCTGTGTTTTTCCTGTGCTTTTCCTCCTCCCATCCCGTAGTTTTGATGTTGGACATGCCACGCAGCACAGGGCTGCATCCGGACCTCTGGCCTTGCATCTGGACATCGTGACACTGGATGAGTCCACATGGGGTATGACAGAGGAGCCCCAGGAGCCAGAACACCACCAGGACAGTCCTTACTAACTCAGCTCTACAAGGGAGTGACTCCGAACCACATGTACATGTTCCATGAAAACCAAACTAAGTGTATCACCAACTTAACATCCCCTTAGCTTGGCCCCAAAAGTACTCATGGCCTCTCCTCCACCACCGGATGTGATGGGAAGCATGCAAATGGAATGTCAATAGAAAGACCCAGCCTTAACTGATTGGCAGTGAAAATACCTCACTTTTGAAAATTTCACAAAAACATAAGGTTACACACCCCTATCAGAACCCCTTCTAGAGCCTCAGGGGGACCTGTGCAAATGAGACACCCTGAAGCTTCGATGTCATCAGCCACTTGTTAGCTTCACCTCTGGGCTCAAGGAAGGGCAGGTATTGCTTTTATCAGGTTCAAAGGGAATAAAGAGACAGTCAAGGCCTTGGGCTACTCTCTGTAGCTTGCATTTTCCAGTTCTTTTGATAAAAAATAGATTTAAATTACGTTCCAGGACAAAGATGAAAAGCATTTGCTCTCTTGGCAGGCCCCACAACATCACTTCATCATCCAGTCCTAGGTGGGGAAAGCCTCTCTTTTCTAACAGGTGTTGGGCCCTCCATCTCAGGAAGTCCTTAGAGCTCTGTGCTCTAAGTGAAGGCAGTGAAGGAAAGGAGAGGAAGGCAGCCTGCGTTTACTGAGTGCTTGCTGTGTGCTAGATATTGATTCTGTGTTTATCTGGTTTAACAAAGCTACGTTAGACATTCTTAACCCCAACTGAATACCAATTAGGTGTTAGACCTGTTGACACTCAGAGAAGCCATTTACTCAAGTGTTGAGCTGGTGAGCACACAGCCAGGATTTTAACCTGTGTCTCTGTGACCTCCTAGCCCATGCCCTCTGGGCTATTACCAGTATGGGAAAGGCTGCCGATTCCCAACACGTGTTCCATTTTGCACAAAATAATCATTGCCTCAAAAAAAGTTGGGATTTGGACTGGAAATGAACTGAATCTATGGACTGCTTTGGGGAGAACTGGCTTTTTCTTTCTTTCTTTCTTTCTTTCTTTCTTTTTTAAATGATATTGAGACTTCCTATCCTTGAATATGAATGAATTCTTTGGTAATTTAGGTATTCTCTAGAAATCATTGTTTAAAAAAAAAAGATGACTCCAAAACTCATAGAAACTCATAGTAACATGCACTCCTGATAAAGGATTAGTATTCAGCATATATAAAGGACTACTATAAACCCCCAAAACAATCAACCCAATAAAAAATTAACAAAGGATATGAATAGACATTTCACAGAGATGGAAATAAAAATAGTCAATAAATCTATGAAGGTAAGTTCAATCTTGTGAGTAGTTGAGAAAATAAAAAGGCCACCATGGAATACTTTTTTGCCAATGACTTCTGAAAAAAAAAAAATCTGTTAAGATCAAATGTTTGAAATATAAAGAACAAGAACACACACACAGTTGAGATAAGAGTAAACTGATATAAACACTTTGAAAAACAATATCTTAAAAACTTGCCTGTAAGTTAATACTATGACCCAACAATTGTATACTTTGGAAAAGCTCCTTTCCATGGGCACTCAAAAGGCATGTATCAGAACACTTTCAGCAGATATCATAGTAGGTAGTAGCCAAAATGAGAACAAATTAAATCTCCATCCACAAGAAAGTGTATAAGTAAAGGGAGAGTATATTCACTCAGAGGAATATTTCACAGTTAAGAAAACAAACTAGCTAATGCCGCCCACCAACAGGTAATGATGAAGAATTTCCTCGGCTGTCCAGGGTTTAGGTCTCTCTGCTTACACTGCGGGGGGCCCCGGGTCAAACCCCGGGGAAGAAAACTAAAAACCCGGAAGCCGGGGGGCAAAAAAAACAAGGAAAAAAAAGGAAAGAAAAAGGAAAAACAACTTCCCAAAAAATCCAAAGCAAAAAAAAAGAAGGCAACTTTAACAAACCAAACAACAAAAAAAGGAAAAAAAAGTATATCGTTTAGGAATACATGCACAATTAGCAGTATTATTTTTTAAAAAAGCAAGAGAAGGAGAAGCACAGACTGAAGGGCGGTGGCTCCTTTTGAGCAGAGGCAGAGTCACAGGGTGGGAGGATACATGCAGGTTCCACGTAGATTGGCCACAGCACCTTCTGAAGTTGGGTGGTGGAATCAGGGGTATCCACTTCACAATTATGCTTCATAACTTTAACACAGTCCTACCTGTTTTGTGAACTCTGAACAGGTGCATCCTCAATGCCCCCCGCTCCTGACACATAATGACACTTTCCATAAATACCAACCATATCAAAAAAGCCAAGTGCTAAATACTGAGAAAAGTTTCCAGAGGCGGGAATTCTCTATCTGACCATGCGTGATGGTTGGTGTAGGTGGGGCCCCGGGAAGGAGGTCTCCCTACCCTTCAGGCACACACCTTCCCTTGATCCTATTTCCAGTCCTCTGCCTTACACTGCTATGACCATTTCTATGAGCCTGGGTTTCTTTGTTTCTGTCTTTCTGGAGTGACTTCTCAGGCCTTGCAAGAGTTGGAGGGCAGCAGTTGCTGGATGGGGTTGGATGGGGCCCTGGGGTCCACAGTCCCTCGATTTCAGGGTCAGAGACGAGAGCCACAGTGCTTCTGACTCCCTGCTTCCCAACATGGGTGTCTGAACTTCTCTTCGCGAAGGTCTCAAGGCTCTGCTGGGCTGGCTTGCCTAGCTCCACTCAACACCCAGCTTCCAAGAGGGCTGTCTATCACCGCTCTCTCCTCCCCACTGCAGCTTCCACTTCTTCTCTTTGTCCTTTTCACTTGATTTCCTTAAAAATTCCCTTTCTTTCCATGTTAGTGGCATTTGGGGAAGTCACACTAGGTTCAACCCACCAATCCCACTAGTTCAGAGCAACTCGTTTCATTGGAATGTGTCTTTTCTGAGTGGAATAGGGAAGTTCCTGTGACTAGATCTTCTGGGTGGCTGAGTTCCGTTTGTCTAGGTTTAGGAGGAAAAGACCTGTCAGGCCCCTTGACGTGCCGCTGTTCCTAATCAAGCAGCTGCAGCGGCTCCCTGTGTGGTTCCCAGGAAGACTGCTGGGTTCTGAGGAAGCAGTTATGAAATAGTCACAGCATCATGGTTTTTACCATCTCTGCCGCTACTACTGCTGCTTCTCTTTCTGCTTCTTTCCCTCCCTTTTCTTTCTTTTAGCTTTAAACTTTAACATATTAATGATCAGTGTTAAATTTGCTCTCCAGTTTCAATCATGAGGCAGATATAAAAACATGCTTATCAAAGGGATTATTTTTTGCACTTTATGTACCAATTTATCTCTTTCAAGGTAGAATGGATTCGTTGAATCTGTCTTGAGAGATTAAATTACTTGATTCCTTTACATTGCAAGGGGTGACACCTGGCTTTTCATGACAATGGCGTCCAGTCAAGTGGAACCTTCTGCGTGTACCTGCTTCCTGCCTCTGCCCCCCGCTCCCCTCAAGTACCATCTGCGTGATTAAACTTTGTAGCACTGTCAACAAATGCAGAGTTCAAGTTAATTTAGAAAATATCATGCATAACCTGTCCATTCTTTTCCTAACCCCAAACACTCAAGACTCATACAAGCCATGAGCATGTTATTTCAGCTGTCAGAGTAATGAAACTAATAACCAGGAGGTGCAGGTAATTCTAGATTATTGAAGACAAAGTAGTTTAGCAGGGCATTTGAATAGGTGTATGTCTGTGTTCAAGCTAATATTTTACAAGTGAACATCATCCAAATAAATTGTATTATATTGTAAATATACTGGACAGTCAAAATAGAAATGCCCACTAAAAGGATAATTGTCAATGCAATGGACAAGGTTATAAAGAAGTGTACCTGTCATATCCTCTTTAGATTCCATATCTGGGCTCATGTTAGTTTCCCAGTGACTGGCTTTGATCAAATTCTCCCATCTCCTTCTAACCTCAGTGCAACTGTCTTCATAATCAAGTTGCAAAGAGGACCATCTAATTAAGATTACATTCAAACTTGAAATCTCCCTGTCCAGTGGGGAAAGATAATATTGTCACTCAGCACTTGGGGTAGATAAAGCCAGTAAATGCTTTTCCCTGTGGGCAACATAATTGAAACAGGGCTCTGTCTGCCTTTGTAGAGACTCTAGCATCTTTGAAGAGAGATGGTTAGGCATGTTCCCAGGGAGTCAGGCAGAACTGCCTGAATTTTTCATGACCCTTTTCCCTCTCTTCAGGAAACAGAGTTTAGATAGCCAACCACGGTTCTATGCACTCTGACAAATATACACCATTGTGTAATAATCACATTACCCACCAAAGGACCCCTTTGTAGCCAATCCCTTTTTTCCTTTCCTGATAACCACTGACCTGTTCCGCCTCTTCTGGAATGTTGTATGATTGGCATCATAGCATATAGTCTTCTGTAACTGGCTGCTCTTACTTAGTATGCGTGTTGTATGCTAAGTTGCTTCAGTCATGTATGACTCTTTGCAATCCCATGGCTTGCGAAGCTCCTCTGTCCATGGGATTCTCCAGTCAAGAATACTGGAGTGGGTTTCCATGCCCTCCTTCAGGGGATCTTCCCGATTCAGGGATCAAACCCAGGTCTCCTGCACCTGCTGCATTGGCAGGTAGATTCTTTACCACTTTTCATATAATGCAGTTTTAGTATAATCCTCCTGATTTATCCATGTTCTTTCAGTACCTTAGTGCTTTCTTTATGTTCTGTTTGTTTGTTTTGTTTTGGTATTTTTTGTTTGTTTCTGAATAGTATTTTATTGTCCAAATATACCACAGTTTGTCTATTCATCAGCTGAGGGACATTTGGGTCATTTTTTATTTTTGGCAATTTCCAACTAAGCTTCTATGAACATGAGCATACAGGTTTTTGTATGGCTGTGTTTTCATTTCTCTAGAGCAAATACCTGAAAGTGAGATGGCTAGGTCACATGGTAGGCATCAGTTTACTTCTAAAGGAAAATGAGCTGTCCAAAATAGGTGTATCACTTTGCATCCCTGTCAGCACTAGTTATTGTGCAGAGGAGTTTCAGCTATTTCATATACTCACCAGCTCTAGTTATTGTCATGTTAAAAAAATCATTCTAATAAGTGTGTAAAGGTATCCTAGTGTGGGCTTAATTTGCATTTCTCACGATGCTGTGGATCTTTTTATATACTTTTGGTCATATCTCTTCTTTGGAGTGTTGGTTTACATAAAGTATTTTTTTTTGGTAATATAAATATCATTTTTGTTTTATTTTTCTATTTTTGAGCTTTGAGAAGTCTTGGTATATTTTGGATGTGAATCCAGATATGTGTTTTATAAATATTTTCTCCTAGTCTCTGCCTTTTTGAATATATTTTTTAGATTATTTGAATTTCATTGTTTATAATCAATACTTTATGTCCACAGTTCAAAAGGTTTGAGAAAATACATAGTGAAAAAGAAGTCACCTTCCCATAAATCCTAGCAATCCAATTCT